GTATTGATCATTGGGCCAAGATTACATCATTTTATTTCAAATTACTTGTTAAGATCATTAGAGTCCATTCAAAATCTTATTCCAAAAAGAAAGAAAGAAAAACATCAGAAAAATTTGAAAACATAGGTATACAGGCTTGGAAATGGTTTTTAGGGTAGTAATATTAGGTTTAAGGGTTTAGTAAAGTTATAATATGAAAGAAAAACATTATATTGTACTGTAACAATTTTAATCTTGAAGGTTGATAGGAAGAAACAGAAGTTATTAGAGAAAAGGTACTTTTTTGAAGCTGGTAAACAAGTGTTATACATGTAGTTTGCATATGTAATAGTGGTAATAGTGGAAGTTAAGGTTGCCAAGGGGTTTTTCCGGGATTTTTAAGGTTATAGAGGATGATGTCATATTACATGAGCAAGAAAAGAAGAGTAGCAGCTGTGAAAAGTAGTGAAAATGGGTGAATATTGTCAAAGATGAAGGTTTTCAGCTTGTTACATATGTCCAATGACGTCAGATTATGTTGGTAGATAGCTCATTCAACACAGAAGAGTAGGGTACATAATTTACAAACTTTACATCACTAGTAGTGAAGGTGTATGAAAAAAGTTACAAGGCAAATGAGAAATTGGTGTCAATATCGAATTTACAGTCACAAGCATACATGTAACACCAAAAACCTTAACTTCACAACCCAATAACTTATTCATCACCCATCAGACATAGATTGTATGGGGGTGATAAATGATCAGTATCACGAGGGATATAAGATGCAATTTAGTAATCCGAAATTAGACCTCATCTGAAAAAATTTGTAATCTCAAAAATTGGTTTTCAGCTAGTTTACAAGCACAAAATCCCCTGTATTCATCATAAGAAGTTCTGTACATCATATTATTGCGTCATGGATCACTTTTGGCTGTGAAAGTTACATCATACATTAGTAATAAGATCATTACATTATGTCATTATAGGGTTTTTAGGGATTTTTGGGCGGATTTGATTGGTTTTGAGGCTGTTGACCATTGTAAAAGTTGTATTACATTGTTATATATACTTTGAGATGATTTTGGGACTGTTGATCCCCTTTTTTCTTTTGATAGTACCTGGTCACTTAAATACACCCTTTATTACAGCTATAAAGAGAAATTTACTTTAGTATTGTAGTCAAAAAGACTTATTGGGAATAATATCACAAAGATATTGCTTATTTTCTTTAGTTATCATCTGGGAATAACACTATAGCAGTGTTGATAGTAATAAAAATTGTTCTTTCGAAATAAAATTCGTGTGATACATTTCTCTGGTGCCTTATCAGTACTCAATACAACAGTGTCTTTTCCTGATTGTATTGTTTTAGAAGAGCAGTCTCAGACAACTTCTACTAGTCATTATATTAGTAGATTATCCTCTTCCAGCTCTGTATAACCCTTGTTGGGTTATAAGTTCTACACCGTCTTATCAAATCTTACTTACAATCAAGAGATACCAATTTCATTTCATCTCCTGAGTTATTCATTACTTCCCAAGGGTGTCCGCCTAATCATTCTTGGTTCCTTCAGAGGTTTCACTCTCATTTTGACAAGACTTACTTGGGTCATTCTCTGCATTCAGGTTGGGCCACTGCTTTAGCTCAAGCAGGCACAACAATGGCCTACATCAAGAGTGCAGGCTGCTGGTCTTCAGACACTTTCATTATCTATGTACGGGGACATACTGCTCTTTGGTTGCCTGAGAATCAAAACAATGTTATTGAGCGCTTGTCTCATGTTGGATATAAGGTATTTCTGAAATAGTGAGTTCGGCTGCAATTGTGTCCTTGATTAATGGCTTTATTTGCCTTTTTTATTAAGTCTTTGGATGAGTCAATGGCTAGTGCCTTCTTTATTTGGTCTATGGCCTATTGCCTTTTGCATGGTCTATGGCCTATTGCCTTTTGCATGGTTAATGGCAAATAGCCTTATATGCTTAAATTTTTTATTTGTTTTTCATTTGTTTTTCAGCAGTTTGGTGTTTCAGTTGCTCATTATTTGCTTCTTTATTCTTGTCATCTTCTACTTCACCACTCTTCTCATACGCTGGTAGGTGTGTTGGAGAGGACAAGTTTATCATTCAGCAATTTATCTCCCTTGGCTTAGGCCTTGGGCTTTGCACCAAACACTAGCTTTTGTTCTTGGTATTTTGATACCAAGCAAGTGTAAGGCCCCGTTTGGTATAGCTTACAAAAACCGGGAGAAATGTATTATTTTTTGAAAATAATCCATCTTACACTTTTTCAAAAAAACTCATTTGTTATTGCTTTGGCCCTCCTTTGCCCCTCTTTTCAAAAGCCATTTTCCCGTCAATAATCTATTATTTTCGATCATTTTGAAAGCTGCTCTAGACCAGCTTTCAAGCTTTAATAATCCATTATAAACCTGGAGGAAGCCTTACAACCTGGGGCCCTGTTGCATCGAGACCACTTCCGATAAAAATTTGGCCAAGTACATACACAATTCTTTCCCCATCACGCTCACTGAACATTTCTATGTACATCTCAACTTGCTTCCTTGTCCTTCATCTCTAGAACTTGGTCTATAAGAGAAACTTCAAACTTTGTTGATAAGCATCAATTCAACTCTGATTTGTACTACACACATAATTCAACCTCAATTTGGGCAACTCGACGTTGATTGTTGCTAATGACTGTGATTGATTGAATGAAACAATTCACGCGATTTCATAGACCTATCAATGCAATGAATCTATCCAGTCATCAATGGAGCAATCTCTGAGACGAGTTGATTTCTAAATGTCCAGAATCAAAGTGAACAATAAGAATCAAGATGATGATAGATTATTATCAATAGTCAAGTTTGGTGAATGGTACATACCAAACATCATCGATTGATTTTTGGGTTGAAATTGAATTTGAAAATTGGATTTCAAACTTGAAAAGTGGCTTCATGAAATAATGGATTATGCAATGCATAATCTATTAATCTTTAATCTATTTCCAAAAGCTGTAAGCCATACCAAACGGGGCCTAAGTTTAATGGTCCCATTTCTTGTTGTTGGTAACCTGTTATTAACAGAGTGTAATGGGAGAGTTGGGTCATCACATATGTCTTGTCAAACTAATGGGTTGGACTTTCCTCTATACTTCTGGTTGCTTTAGCTGTGACATCATAGCTGTTGACCACATTCTTTTCCAACTCTTCCCATTGCGGTCTCTTTCGTCAAAGTTTTTATCTTTGAACTATCAGCTCATATTATTTATCCTTAGCTATTTCATGTAAGAAATTTTTGATCCCGCCCTGCCTTTCCCTTTTTTGTGTTGGGCTCTTGGTTTTGGTAATTTAGTTTGGAACATTGTAGTTGATGGTATATATTTTTTATGTGGTTATCTTAGTTGATTTTATTATTCTATCATTGTTCTTTTTTTCAAAAAAAAGAGAAGGAGATTATGTGTGTTTTATTCAGTATAAGCCTGGTTTAATTTAGTTCTTTTTTAGTTGTTTATTGGTTCTTTTAGTTGTTTGTTTTGTTGTGTCCGCTAGCCGCCCCGTAGGTTGAGTTTATCATTCAGCAATTTATCTGCCTTGGCTTATGCCTTGGGCAGCGCACCAAACACTAGATTTTGTTCTTGGTATTTCAATACCAAGCAAGTGTAAGTTTAACAGTCCCATTTTTTTCTGTTGCACATCCTACTGTTGTTCAAAAATCATACTTTGTTGTTTTAATGGTCCATTATGTTGGATGTGCAAGGAAAAGACCCAGCTTTCTGATATTATTCTTGGCTTTGACCAGCTATGATAAAACCTCTTTGTACGTGTGAGAGTGGCACATTCTATGCTCCGCAAATCTGACATCTTTGAAGTAAGGATTACAGCAAGTCCTCAGATTGATCAACTTTGAGGTTTGACTAATATCAATAATCTGTTCAAGATCCTCCTATTGTTCACATGTTATCTCCATATTCTTCCCATACAAATTTAAAATCCTGAAAATCAATTACATAACTTGCAAATTCCAACATGTGTTCATGCACAATTGGCATCCTTTACCTTTGTCCCTCAAGACCTTCATCAATCAACTGATCTTCTTCAGTTCTGTTTCCATCAAAAATTCAATTCACAATCTCTTGGAACCTGTGACGCCGTAAATTTTACAAGGGAGACCCCTCATGAGCTCTTGATGTGCGTAATTTTAAACTCAAAACCAACTTCCAGGGTAATCATCCACACTTTGAGATTCATTTCATCTCTTCTTCCCCTCAAGTTTCACCCACAGAAATTGGTAATGTCTTTGGAAAAAAATCCAAGTCACGTTAGACAAGGACTTTTTCATACAATGATCAAGCCAACATAATATTTACAAAACAATGACTGACATAATCAAGGTCTCAATACAATGTCAACGACTTGAACAGTCTTGGCTGTATTGAGCAAAACATTGAGCCTTGATTTATTCAAGTGAAGGTATTCAGCCATATTCTCATATCATTCCTTATCATTGCCTAAGTCAAAACTACAGTTTGAATATTACCATAAGCCCCAAATCAGCTGAAGATATCCTCAGCAACAAGAAGCTACATGGACAAATATGATGGTCAAAAATATCGGCTAATTTTGAGAGTCATTGGAGTTCGTGCTTGCGGGAAGAGTAGTAAGTTACCTATGTAGTGTGGTCATATGTACTACAGAACTTGCCTAGCAGTAGCACTTCACTTTGTCTTCAGAGCAATGAGCTGGAGCTGAAAAAACCAAATGTGCTTTGACTTAGTCTTCTCGTGAGTCCGCGCACACAACCGGGGTCGGGATCAAAAGGTTTCTAAGAAAAACCCGAGTGATTTTAACAACCTCTGAAGCCCCGACAGGGTGAAAACAAGCTCAACCACTCAGGGTCAATTGGTTTTGCTTATGCACCAAACTTTGTCACACTTCTGATTCCATCGATTCGCACATTCTCGTGTTTTATCAAAACTCATCTATCTTCTTCCCACAATCATTGGAGACTGAATTGTGAAAATGAGCGCTGCTTTGTCCAGTCCTCATAAACCTGAGATCGCAATCAAAACTTATTATAGTCCGGAGTTCATATGCCAACTTCAGGATGTTGCAAAGCGTATCCCCCAGTTGAAAAAGACCGGCGACAACTTCAGTATATGGGAAAAACGACTAAAGATTATGATAAGGAATCTCACTGGGTCATCTGACTACCTCCTACACGAGTTCCACAAGCACGACCCAAAATTAAACCAAGCAGTCTTTGACTTGATAATGTGGTCGATCGACGACGAACTCCTCGAGCACTGTAACATGGATGGGTCTGCAGGTGACGCCTTTCAAGTCTTAGCGGGGCGATTCCAATCAAAACCGTCGGCTCGATGTATCATCAATCGTGCTGATTTTCCAGAGGAAATCCTAGACAACATCGTGAACATGGTTTACTACCAGTCTGCTCAAGAGCATATCTCTATCACAAAAAGGAAATCCGAGCGTGTATCCCACTTCCCGCTAATGAAGAAAGCTTATATGAAACTTCACGTATACCTTGGTCACAGTGGTCCTCCAGTTCTCAATTCTATTCAAAACCTTGCGGTGGTCAATCGAAAGTTTTATAGGCTGTGTCTTCCTAAGTTATGGCAGGTATGATTGTGGTCTTTGCATGCATCCTGCTTTGATTGGTATCAGAAGTTGAGTGCACTGATCCATGTTTGTCGAATCTATCAGAAAGTCGCATTCCCAACTTCGCTGCCCGCTCCCATGTCGCTTTGGACGGGCAATTTACTCTTGAAACACGGAAACTTAGTAAAGTCGGCCGAATTCGACTTGGAAGATGTAAATGCTTATCAGGATGCTTATCAGGATGGTCATCAGGAGGGTCAGTTTTCACAAATCGACAGGCGTCTTTGTGACAATACATCAGCGGTCAATGGTAGCAATATCAGATTCGGAATTGGACTGTTGAACATTGTGAAAATCTTCAAAGTCTGCCCAGCTCTAGAGTCGGTATCGCTGTCTCTTCCACCAAGTGAACCTCAATCTGAATGGCTATCAACTCTCAGATTCCGTTTGAAAAGTGCATTTAAGCTTCTCCCTTCACTCCAACATTTGGACTTAAGTAACGAGGGATATGTAGGCCGTTCAGGCGACTTTATAATTGACATCATCAAAAAAACACCATCACTTACCTCGTTAGTATTGACCGACTTCAAATTTGCAGCGAAAGAATCTGAAGAAGAGTCCTTGGGATGGAATCTGGCCCAGCTTCAGAAGCTTCGCAAACTAGAACTTCATTCTATCACCTGCGAGGATCAAACGTGGACCTCGGAAACTTGGACCAAACCGCTCACAAACCTTGAACTCGACTGTTGTGAAGGACTCACACCTGACATGATGCACAGATTGCTAAGCGGTAGAACCCCCTTTCTGACTGAACTTAATATTGAGTTTCATGAGTTAGGCGAGGACGATGTCAACATTCGGTTTGATCTCCCAGCTCTCAAAACCCTCATTCTATATCTTTACGAAATCCCCGATCTACTTTTATTAGTAAGCTTTGTAAACTGTAAAAGTATAGAAGTCCTCAAATATAATGGTGATATTTATGATACTCAATGGGACTCAATGAAAAACCTCATATCTCAACATGCTTGGCCTAAGCTATCTGTTTTGGATCTACATCGCGCGACCTTTCATGATGGCTATGCACGACCAATGACCGCGGAAGAAATGGAAAAAGAATTCAAAATGTTCAACATCAAAGTGCTGATGCAAAAGTGTCGAAAATGATGTCTATGTAACTGGAACAAATTTGTGTCCGAAATCTGATTGGCTGACATCTTTTGTTCAAGATCCTCCTATTTTTCAACAATTTACTTTGTCTTCATGGCGAGATGTGTTATATTCTCAAGGTGAATGATTGGTTCTAGCTGATATTGTTCACAACTTCAATCAGTTGCAATAAATTTCTTTTTCTTACTTATGCTCACTAAATAGAACATTTTTAATGCAAGAACTACGGTTAGGAAGTCCTCAAATCAATTAAACATTTGAAATTATATTGGGTGATTATCCTTCCGCCTATAGTGTCCCTGAATCCACGTCACTTTTAAGTATTGCAGCCCGCAGTTTATTTGCAAGCTTCAAGACCTTGCAAAGCGTATCCCCTGTTAAATAAGACTGGCAATTACTTCCCTCTCTGGGAAAGACAGCTAAAAGTTATGCAAGAAAGCTGACAGGTTCATCTGACTATACTGTAAAAAGGTCAAGTGTAAAAATCTTTTAACCCATTGATCAGTGAACAACAGGGCCAGGTTGAAAAGCTTTGTAAAGCCCGCCCCGGAAAAGGCGACCTTTGCAGTTTCCAAAGAGCAAAAAAAAGAGCAAAGCGTGATGAAATAACCAACTCAACTAAGTCCAATCTTGTGCCTTGTTCATTTGAAGTTTGTGGGCCCGAGCCTGGCATGAGATTGGACTTGGTTGAAGTAGATGAAATCATTTTGTTTCTTAGATAAATCCTATCCAATCTATCACCTTCTTGCACTCAACTTTGTCTTCTGTTCATTGAAGATTGAATTGTGATATCAAGCGCTATGGCCGCTTGATTGTCATCCCATCATTCCCAATATGTGATTGCAAGTCAGGCTTAAATCCCCAAGTTGGCACAGCGGTTTCAACAAAGATACTTATCAAAGTCCCCCCAGCCCAAGTAGTTGAGGGAGGGGCTTACAGCCAAAGTCCCCCTTTTTAACTCACAAGAGCACATTTGTTGGTGTTTTTTTGCTTTATCACTCATTATGAGGGCTATAGACCTCATCAAATCTTGCTTCCAGCCACAAGGATCTTCATTTGCACCTTGTACATGTCCTAGTGCATTTTTTAGCATCCAGTGTATTCATCAAGCTCACTCAGAAGAGTTGTAAAAAGTTGTAGCTGGTACACCTAATTTGAAACAGGACCCCTAAAGCGTGCAGATGTCTCCAAGAATTGCAATAGCAGCAAATCTATCCACAATGAAGATATAATTGATGAGGTGTGCAACCCTCCAAGTCCTGATGTGCAAAAACAAAAAATGGCTGAAAGTCTTGCTGTTGTGAGTTGAAAACCATGACATTAGCCAAGAGGCCCTCCCTTGACTACTCCTGTGGGGGACTTTGATAAGTTTATGTGCTCTGTTGCTCAATTCCTGGGGTTTGCAAGTTTTCCCCAATTTTCCTTGAGTTGGGAAACTGGATAAAAAACTGGGGAAAACTCAGGCTTTTGACCTTTGTATCCTCTATTTTTTGAGAGGATTTTACTAAAGTCAGCTCCCCCTTCAAAGGCTTGACTGCCCCCTCTTAGTCAGGGAAGAGGGATATGATAAAAAAAGGCTGTCAGGTGTTGTTCTGGGTGAATACAAAACCAAAGGGGGTGGTCTTGATTTCAGGTGAAATGGAAGCCAATCTTTTTTGTTCCTCCTCCTGCTCCCACAGCTTGAGTTCAAGCTGGTGGATTTGGTGCTTGCTGATTGAAATATCTATGTTGTGAAATTTTTTCTTGGTTTGGTTAGTTGTTCCTTGTTTTAAATTTGATATTAACTGGTATGGAGTTATATCTTTCATTGATTGGTTTCTTTGTTTGTTTGTTTTCTGATATCTTCTTTGTTAGTGGTTTCTATGGTTATGCACTTTCATTATCAATGATTTGAGGTTGTCAGGGTTGTGTTTTTTGGTTATGTTAGTGTTTCTTTGTACATTGTTGGTGATATTCTCAGTGTTCTATATTTTGCTATGTCTGCTAGCCACCCTGCAGGGTGTTTCATTTTCAAAGCAATATTATAGCCCTGGGCTGTTTAGCCTAGGAATTTGCCCACAAGTTGTGGGCAAATCACCAGCTGCATCTTTGCCCACATCCACCTTGACTTTTAAGTATTGTAAGTTTTATGAATTACACTTCAGACATCTAATACGTATTTATCATTGTACTTATCATTCCATAAATTTGGTCGCAATCAATTCCCACCAAGCCTGAGCAATTTTGCCATAAAGTTTGATCAAATTTCCCCAGACATTGAGCTTGCCTCCATGATACCCACTTTACATATAGTCTTCATTCTCATATACATGAGATAGGTGTTGCTGTCATTTTCTCCAATTGGTGTTCAGATAAAAGTGACCTCAATATTACAAGTAAAGCACAATTATTCAAATTTTGCACTTTCTTGGAGTCAGCTGCTTAAATGTTACTGCCTCTTGTAGTATTTATGAAGTTGAAGGTTAAAGAAGTCTCCTGGATGGATGACTTTTTGAATTCCAATATTCCTATGTGCAAGAAGTGTTGGATGTTGGAATAAAGTGCTATGTTTTTCTCTTTCTCAATGTTGTGTAGTGTGATCTTCTTTCTGTTTCTGATTCATCTCAAAGTGTGCTATTTGAATTACTGTTATATTTGATATGTTGTGTGGTTACTTTTATTCCAGCTTGACTAACTCTTAGCTTATGTTGTTGTTCTCCTTATAAAGCTACCTATGAGTCTGAAGAGTTTGATCCTCATCTATTCAAACTCTTCATCATCTTACACTACAAAGCATACACTAACCTTTGATGTATCTGCTTTGCGTGAATGACTCACAGGTAAGCTATCTTAGTTTCTTCTCAGAGTGTTTTCCTATATCTTTTATTTCTCTCATTGCTTGTACATGTTTGTGTTGTTTGTGTTGCGCAATAAAGATCTATTCAAACTCTTCATCATCTTACACTACAAAGCATACACTAACCTTTGACGTATCTGCTTTGTGTGAATGACTCATAGGTTATGAGCCTTTATTATTGGGTATATCCACGCATTAGTTTTATATGTCATCTTTGCTCCATGATCTGATTCCTTGCAAAAGTATTGCCTCAAAGGTGACTCAAACATAGCTCCAATTGTTTGCCAATCCACAGACTTTATGATTCAACTCTCCAAAATGGGCTATCAGTACCAATCAGAAATATGTATATGATTCTCCTAAACCATACCATTTTGCCCAAAGTCAATCAATGATTGTATAGCAGATTCAGAATTACAAGATGCATCAAAACTTGGCACATTTTAATTACATGTGGGATGGAGCCTGGCCCAGCATCAGAATCTGTGCAAATTACGCCTTGATTGTGTTGCTCGTAACAATATAACTTGGCCATTGAAGGCTTGAACTCCATGGCTTATGGCTTTTGAGCTTACGTTTTGTGTTGGGTTGACAGATGGCATGATTGAGAGCAACATTGGGCGGGTGTGTGTTTCTCTGAGTGAGCAACGTACAGCAACACAGAGCAAAAACCAACAAAAATCCCTCTGATGTAATCTTATGATGTCATTATTGTTAATATTTGGTGTGAGTAAAGCTGCGGAACTGATCAATTGATGTAAATGAATGATGAACAGATCTTATTATGATAAATACAGGTGTTTTTTTCCAAATATTCATAGCTGAAAACAATTTATGGAATTACAGAATTTTTGTGAAGTTGTCTATAGCTCATTTTATAGCCCTCCTGATACTGATCATTTATTGCCCAAATATGACCTACTTCTGATGTGTGATGAATAATTTATTGAGCTGTAGAGATTGATAAAACAAGCTTTTTGACTCAGGTTGTGGGCGCGCTGATAATTTTGTAGGCGTGGCTAGGCGCGTTCTTTTGTAGTTTTTTGTGCTAAGGCACCACTTGGCGTTCCGGGCGCGTTTTCTTACAAAAAAAATTGTCAACAAACAAAATGTTGTTTTTGCATTGTCATTTATTGCACGTTTTTATTGCTAGAGGCTGAGCTATTTACCACCACAAAATTACCTTTTAGAGGTGAGAAAAGCCCAACAGAGCCGTCTTCAAAGCTCACAGCAAAGATCCAAGTCTCCAATATTGGTGACAGGACATAGAATTCCATGGATCTGGTGCATTTTTTGGAAGCGCACACCAACCCCAATTTTGCGGATTTCAACGCCAAGGTGCGCCACGGCGCTCCCACAAATTGGCGCACCAAAGTGTGTTCTTTGTGCCGCGCCCACAACCTGATTTTTGACATGTAAATGTTGCTACATGTGTTAAGCACCAAATCTGAAATTCGCACCATTTCCTTTGTTTCCTTATACCTTTTTCCCTAAACCTCTGTTGCTATAGGTTTCAAGGTTGTACATTATGAGATAGAGCATTTTGTGTTCATTGAGTTATTACCCATCCTGATCTGACAATTTCTAACATATGTATTTAGCTGAAAACCTCCAATTTTGACAATTTTTGACCATTTTCATGTCTAATATTGATTTCTCTTCTATCAAAAGATTGTCCTGAATCAATCCAATCATAAGAATAACCATAAGATCAATCTGTAAAACCCTTGGCGCCATAAATCCCTCAAAAACATCACTACACAGTAATTAATACCATAGTGCCCTTGTTTACCATCCTTGAATTTCCCTCATTCTTGAATAATTTCACTTCTCCCTTATCAATGTCCATTATCAAAGCTGTTGCTTACTAATTTTATACTTCTCTTTCATAATTTAAGTGTTTTGAACCCTCAAAACACTTAATATTAACCTAAAACCCATTTTCCAACTCTTATACCTATATTTTTGACTTTTTCTTCAATTCTTCTGATTTTATCCTTCTTATTTCATTCTTTTCATAGCAGTTTCCATTCTTACTGATCCAAACTAAATGTCCTTCTCCACAAATTCCTTTCTTACTAATTCTTTTTCATTTCTTTTCATGATTATTTCAAATTTTTCTCTTTTTGTAATTGGTCTTATCAAACAATATAATTAGTATATGATTAAAATGTTATGATGATTTAAAATCAACTTCGAGACACTTGATGACTAACAACTTCAATAACAAATTTGATTTTCACTAAAACACAATTTTTTACATAATTTTTCATTTTTTTGATTATATAACATACTGATCACCACACTGGTTTCATAAAACTTGACCTGTGCATTATTGTTTTTGGAATAATTATGCAATAAACCTAAATCTTGGCCAGCAGCAAGTTGGGAGAAGCCCTGGCCTATGCACAATGACCAAATATGCAATTATGCGGGTGTGCAAATTGCAATTGCGCAGGTATGCAATTGTGCGGGTTCTACTGTAAGAAGGATGTGTATGTAGCTTGGTATCATTTAAAAATCAAGATATTTATCAATTGAAACACAAAGCCATCTGGCTGTGACCACAAATTCTTATAAACAAATGTGATACACTGTATCTTATAATCTTCATTTCTTTCCAGGAACCTTTTTCTTTTGTTTTGATTTTCCCCATTGTTCAACAATGGCACCTTGTTGAATCATTTATCAAAGAAAATGTATAGTCATTGAAGATGATTGATTCTACCAATATTTTTAATGACTATAATCAATTTTGATTCTTTCCTGTTTTTGCCTAAGAGTCATGAAATTGAGATCAAGGTAAGTCCTTAACTAGATCAAAAAACATCATCAAGTATCTATCTGTTGTCCTACCATGAGACCATCAATATGGCTAATTTGACCCCAAAAAATTTGATCTGATCATTCCTGTACCTTCTCATCGACTGTTAAACACGAATCCATCTTCTTTCTTTGCCATTCCAAAATATTGTCAAATTCATACCTCATGAATACCATCACACTGTTGGATCACAATCTGCTTTTTCCTTCTTTTCTCCAAGGGGTCTTCACCGATCACGTGCCATCTTGTTCCAATTATTGTCATGTGTCCAACATTCAATTCATAATCTCTCCAGACTTGCAAAGTATAATGAAAACCATTTTGAAATTTTGACTGATTGTAATCACAAACTTCCTTGCATTGTGGAATGGCATCAAAAGCAACTTTGGGATTATGCATTCACAAATCAAGTGTTGATTCTCCTGACTTATATTTTCTCCATGCATGTATCTGCAGTTCTCAAAGCAACCTTGTATGTGTACATATTTTTTGCTGCATAATTATTTTTGGCGGGGAAAACAAGTCCAAAAGTATATTTGTCTTTTGCCTGCCAAAAAAGTATATTTGACACTATATACGTGTATGGCTGTTTCAAGACAAAATGTTGTCCTCCTTGTTTTTTTTGGTTTTTATCTTGACTTTGCAATAAAAATCACTGATGTACACTCTACCTAAAAGCTGTATTTAATTTTTCAAGGGTGCATTAAAGGCACAAGGTCACAATCTTTGCTTCCTTTTTATCTGCAATGTACAACCTTTGGTTCTTCTTCAAGGCTTGACGTGAGGTACAATCTTCAACTTTTAGCGCATCATCAACTACAGCTGCTTGTATGTAGAGTCTACATCAGTGATTATGAGTGCAACTTCAAAATGAAAAAAAAAAACAGGACAACAGCATTTTTTCTCAAACCAGCTGCTGTACATATGTAACTTTGAGTACCGTAATTGAACTCTAGTAGGGTGTCCTCAACACTTTCCTGACTCACATTAGTTTACCTTGTTTCCACATAATGGTCTAACACTTTGATATTTTGGGAATACTCACTAAAATTGAACAAGCCTTGATGCAGCAAAGAATTGAAGAAAGTGAGTCTTGGTTCATTGATCTAGAGTCTACAGTGTCCACCAAAAATGCGCTGGACATCCGTTGAGCTATTTTTGAAGCGATTATCCAATTTTTGTCCAGCAAACATCCCCAAAAATATACAATTACTCAGCCTCAGGCTTCCTCGAGCCACGTTCAGGATGAGCCAGGAAAAGGATCAACTGATTTCAACTGTTCCTAGTTTGAGGCTTGAGCTGAATGTGAGCTAACCTGAGTTGTTGAGACATTTACTTGCAGGGAATTTGAAAGAATTTTCACAAAACCTTCTGTCTGACCAGAACCGAGGAAGCGTTCATATCCTCTGGATATGTACATGAGTAAATAGACTTCTTTTGCACTCATTTGAGATTGTCTGACACCAGCTACAGAGCTATTGTAAGCAATGTAAGGGTCGACAGTAAGAAGAGAAGAGCTTGAGACTTGAAGTTGTATTCCAGAGGACGTGGAATTACCTTTTGTCCACCAGGAAAGGCTCTATGTGGTACTATTTCAAATTTGGTAGGCCTGCTGTATTAGCTGATGTAAGTATTCAGTATTTGCTATTATGTTTGCATGGGTTTGTGGTGCATAATGACCGCGCATCAATTTTTGATAGAGGAGGCCTTTCTTTGAAGGTGAAAGGATAACTCTGGTGCCAAGTTAACTTGAGCAGATAATTTACAGTCAAACTGAGATGCGCAGGTGGTCTTGAGCAACAACTCAAACCACTCCACCTTCCAGTAATCCTTAGACATCACAAACAAAGGTTTTACTTGCGCGGCTTGGCTCACTTTTGCCTGCGCAGGGCGGGCACAGATTTAGGGAAATGACAAAAAAATCACACAACTCACAAGTTTTCAAGCTCACCGGGTGTCCGGCACATTTTTGGCGGACACTGTGGTCTGAGATCAAATGCTGCTTTAACAAATCAGCCATGCTCTGATTCAGCAGGGTTGGGTTCAAAATGGTTAGCTCAAGTAACACCCAAGCCTCCTTGATTTGTAACAAAGCCATGCCTTTGATTGTCCCATCTCCCGGGGCCGGCTGAGCAACAGGAGATTTTTCATATTCAATACAAAGTGAGCTTCAATGCAAAGTGCTTCAAATTTCCCCACACCTCCATTTACAGTGGCTGTGGAGCGCCAAATGAGTCAAAACCCAAAAATGTGAAATTTGCATATGAAACTCCCCCTGAAAGCCTGCTCAAGCCTATTCCACACCCAAGTCCATTGCCAGTCCCTTACCCGGACCAAAAAACTCCTTCATTCTACTAAATCTCATTCTTTCATCTATCTTTCTTTTCCTATTTGTTTGCCAATCATCTATGTATAATATGTTTGTCCTGATTCTGAGATCCTCATTTGCCCAGTGAGTAATGTTTTTAGAAAACTGAATCTTGCAAAAAGAATACAGTTGTTCAAGATGATGATCTTCAAAAGTATCTTCATGTGTAATGTTGATAGATATCATACAGATATTTCAAATTTATGCTTGTGATTTTCCCTGTGATGTTATCTTGCAACTGTGATACATTGATCATCAGATATGATGATTATCTTTAAGAAATTAGTGCAACTTGCTTTTCTACAGCAAACAGCAAGATACAAATGCAACTCTCTGTTCAACCAAAATTGCTCAGAAGTGGCCTTGAGACCTGGACTCTTGAAGAATTTTTCAAGTGATAGAACAACCCAGATGTACCTGCCCCAGAGCACTCCATAGTGTAGGTACACTACCTGCTTAGCCAGTGTACTCCGGTTTACCCAAGTCCCCCAATATTGTCACAACTTACATCAGACATAAATATTGTAAGGAAGTTGAAGTGTGAGAGAGGGCTGTCTGCTGAGCTCTACAGGCATTTAGTGCAGCACACTCCAAAACACTAGTTCAGCCCACAATTGTACCTTGCCTTTTGGCAGAATTATCTGCAATAACCCATGAACCCATTGGTATGGGTTATTGCAAAGAATCTTGGTACTCCATACTCTCCATACTCTATAGCAAGTTGAACCCATAGCTTTTGCACTCTTTGAAATCAAATTCTTGTATAAGCATAGCAATGGTTGGGCTAAATCATATGCTTGCATAACAAATGCTTCTGATCAAATAGGAGCATAATTCACAATTAAGGAACATGCTATGCTAAGGCAAAAAATAGCACTAGACATTTCTTTCAGATGGGAGTTGCTCAATACAAGGCAAGAAAGGTTGAGGAAGCAAGATTTGTAATTTGAGGATCTTGTGTCAAAAGAAGTGGAATTTTTGTAGGTCATTGTAGGATGACAGTACAAGCAGAGAGGAAAGTAGGGTCTCAAAATCTTCCTGTAGAATTGCAGTCGTTTATATAGGTTTTTGTAATCAAATGTGTGTATAACAATGCTTGGTGTTTACTTTTTTTGTGTTCATACTCATCACTCTGACTATCACAAAGAGTATTAACCTGTGATTCAAGTCTTCAACAGTTGCTTTGATGTACTTCTTCATGAGATGACAAAGCTGACAGAAGAATGAAAGGTCACTTTTGTTCACTCTAAGTCTTTCTTATTATCTCTTATCAAGATGCTGACATCTTTGTCGTCCAGGGGCCTAGCATCCTGATAGGGCGTGTCTAACCGGCCAACACATAGAATGGTGTAACCGTCGGCAGTCCCGGGGTCTAGAGGTAGATCACTATGAATTGGGTGTTCGAACTGTAAAAATCAAGATCAAAATGATAAAAGGCTGCGAGTCAGAACCAAACTTAACCATATAAACTAGTATGGAAATCGGACAAATTAGGCCGAATGATGTACCTCGGTTTTAACTTCAGGGCAACAGTCGACTGTAAAGCTGTTGAGTGAGTTCTTTAAAATGGTCGCGGTCAAGCTGAAGAAAGTGGATATGTACAGCAAACATAGATCAGCGACATATATTTCACGGACACGCGTGCAGGCTTACTCTTTGTATGGAACTACTGGTGCCAGTTTCCCCTGGGCGTCTTTCCCAAAGTACAAGACCTGGACGCAGTGTTCAAGAAAGTGATCAGATCGACCGCGACGATGATTTGTTCACGAAAATGTCACTCACGCCGCAGGTTCCATACCCGCTACTACTCCATCCATTTTGAATCATTATCTGACCAGCGCTGGAACAGCCCAGCAAAAAATGAATAAGTCAGTAAAAGAAAATATGTACAAGGTAACGGGGAAGAATTGCTTCAAGCTCTGAACCACTTACCGCTGACAATCATTCAAATCGATTGGATGACTATCCGGGCAGTTGAAAATATTGGTGTTCGGATCATTGTCAGTGACAGGCGTACATTGATTTTCGCCTGTCGATGTGTCGCGGGCCACGAGTCGGCCAGGTGGGCTATGGCCACAACTGAAGGAAGTATATAAGGATATTGATAGAATTATAATCATGAACTTCATCTTTAAACAATAAGCAATGTGTGCGCTGAGCAATGCGAATGAAGTCAAGAACTTTATTCAAGAAGATCGAGTGGTTGATAAAGCAAAGGAGAGCAAAGGAGAACAAGTCAGACAACAAAGGAACAAAGTCCCTCGATGCTGACAGCTGTCATTCAACAAGTTGAATCCGCATGTCTCAGCATATAAAGGGACTTGCTGTTAAAGTCGTGTTTTTGGACTGAGGGCTTAAGATTGCTTTGGTGAGGAAATCTCTGGAAATCTGCTGTTGACCTTTTCCGAGCACACTGAGGAACTCGATCCACGCTTACACCCAGACATGCACAGGACTCTGACTCCCTACATATCGCAGAAGTGCCGGAGTAAGAGCATCGCTACAGATCGCTATCCGCCTATTTGTTCTTCCGTAAATTCACCTGTAGCTCGGCTAGGTCAAGCGCTACCTTAACTAGACCTAACTAGACTTAGTTAAGTTAGGGTCAAGCAACTTCTTCCCATTGACGGCGAGCGTCGTACCTGTTGAGATTGCGCTATCCTCTTTATATCGTCTCTCACCTCAATAGTTGTTTCATGTCCATTAATTTTCAACTTTCACTCAAGAGCGATCCTTCTTCTAGACCAGCAGCATACCAAGGAGATCAGGCATTGAACAAACTTCTTGTAGCTACGAAGACCCTTTTACCATCCGTCGATCAAGAAGATCAAACAAAATCGTAACATCTTTCATTCAAATACATACATAAAAGACAGCGAACGCCATCTCACAAGTCTATCTGCCTGCCCAATTCAAGTTTAAAGGTGTTATGGACGCATCATCTTCGTTCAAGCATCATGAATCTACCATCACACCCAAGGCTGATAGTCCCGATTGTTGTAGAAGTTTCAGCATTGCAAAGTGTTTCATTCAGCTAAAGAAGAGTGAGGACAACTTCGATGTATGGGAAAGACAACTCAGATTCATGATACGTAATCTTACCGGGACACACGATTACCTTCTACACGATGCTCAAAAGCGAGATCCAAAACTCAACGAACTCGTTCTCAACTTCATATTCTGCTCGATTGACGATGATCTTCAACGCGGCCTCAAATCGGTTAGGACTGTCCAAGATGCCTTTCGAGTTTTATCAGACCAATTCAATGCTATCAACTCGAATTCTCTTATCGAATGCATAATAAGTCGCGACAATTTTCCCGAAGAGATTCTTGAAAAGATTATAAACATTGTATACAACTTTTCGCTTTCAGAACACAAATCGATCAAGGAAAGAAAGTTGAAGCGTGTAGCACCCGTCCCCCAGAATTCTCCGGGGTTTCAAGTTTACCCAGATTACCAGGGACCACCGATCCTTAACACCTTTCAAAGCCTGGCCGTGGTTAATCGAAGGTTTTATAGGATTTGTCTCCCAAAGTTGTGGCAGGTATGCAAGCTCTTTTTCTATGAATTCCCACTTGGATCTACAATTCAAAGTAAAATACGTATGTCTGATTCTATCCGACCGATCGATCAGACCATCCGATTCCCGAGTGCCGTCCCTCGTGCAATGTCACTCTGGACCGATGAGATCCTCTTGAAACACGGAAAGGTGGTGAAATCTTTCAAGTTCGAACTGGAAGATAACTGCCTGCAGTACGAACCCTGTAACCTTTTGGATGCTGAAAGGAGTGCTTATGACAATACAGTGATAGGTGGGGTAGCCACAACTGATCGAATCATACGCAACGTAGTATACGGGATCGGAACTGTGAACATTAAGAAAGTCTTTCTAGCCTGTCCTGGCCTGGAGTCGCTCTCAGTGAAGATTCCACGCTTCACATACCGTAACCGCCTTTATGTGGGAGCGTTTTCTGATACAATGTTGCGGCGTGTGAAATTCGTATTCAAACTCGCCCCTAAGATTACACATTTGAGATTAGAAAACTCTGAAGGCGGACTTTCAGGTGAATTTGTGATCAGCCTTCTTCGAATGCTGACTTCAGTAGTGTCATTGGAAGTAACTAAGTTTGAGTTCGATGACCGTAAAGCCATAAAAGAATCCTTCGGATGGAATGTAGCTGAGCATCTGAACCTTCGAAAATTACGTCTTCAACATGTCAAGTGCCTAGATCAAACTTGGAACTTAAATTCTTGGCCTAAACGACTCACGGAAATTGAAATTGATTGTTGCAGTGGAGTTTCTGTTGGAATATTACACAAACTACTCAGCGGATCTGCCCCTGATCTTACTACACTTCAGATACACCTTGGCGAATGCCAATCCGGGTCACATCTGAACAATCGATATGATCTTTCGATTCTTGAGATGTATGACGAATCCCCAGACGAATCAAAACCGAACTCCCAATTTGATCTACCGGCTCTCAAACGACTCTACCTGATTAGTGACATCCCCCTTCCAAACTTCAAAGACTGTAAAAATCTTCAATTTGTTAAATGCGATTCTGAGATAAAAGAGGATCAATGGCACTCGATAAAGGATCTTTTGTATTCAGATACTTGGCCCAAGCTCTCCGTTTTGGATCTTCGTCGCTCTTGGTTTTTGGCGGGAAGCCCAGGTCAAGCCCAGAAGGAGGTGGATGAAATTGGGAATTTTAACGTAAAATTGATGCTAAGTGGAGGATATTCCTCAAAAGCGCCATGGGATTAGCTTCTTGACTTTGTTTACTAGGATAGAATAATGGAGACATATCGAATTCAATTCAAGATCAAGTGTTATCTAAGGAACTGTAGCCATCTTTTTTTACGTCATAAATAGAAAGACCATTATTATTGACTTTGTACTTTATAATTATGGAGTGATTGTGATTCTCTTCCTCCAAAAAACTCTGACAATTTATGTTTTCATTTCATTTCAGATTGTTTTTTCCTCTTGTTGGATTCTTTATGAGGAATACCCTCGCATAGAAATTGACACCCATGTATCCTGTTATAATCATAAATATGAAATTGAAAGAACTCCTGGCGAGAAAGTGAATGATTTTAAGACACTTATTGAGTAAGGGTTTATTCTACACCCTACAAGAGTTGAGTCCAGAAGAGTAAAAGGAGTTATTTGTGAGTCACTGTCTAGGGTATAGATAGAAAAGTTGATTATTGGATGACAGGGTAGCATCTATCGCCATTGTGAGTCAAGTAAAATTCCACACTGTTGACGTTCAAGTTTGATGAATTGTGAAATATACAAAGAAATCAATCTTCGCAATCTTTTAAGATTGTACCTTTTGCATAATTTTCAGAGACTTCAAACAAAGTCTACCATTATTTGAAGATTCAGTGGCCTCAGGACCTGAATGGGGCTATTATCACCTATCATCGCTCGCAGACAACTTGAATATGGTCAGATTACAAAGTCACAGAAAGTGATTCCTTTGTTAAATTGGTTTTTCATCTCCTTTTCCCTCGGTCATCATGATCCAACAATATGAACAGGCAAACAAGATTAAACTCAACGTCCATGGTCTGAATTGAACATATTGAACCTCCAGACGCCGAGCTTCTTCAGAGTTATACTTTCAATCAGTCCTGCTTATATGTCACTTTATATATGTACGGTAAAGGCTTTGGTTACTTGAAGATCCATTGATCTCAAGGGTGAATTATTACCCTTTCCAAACCTCAATACGCGATGTTCTGGGGAGTTTTCAATTTGGATTAGCCCTCTTTATGCCACTATATACATATATGATAACACAGGCTTTGGTTTTTTTAAGATCCATTGGTCTCATGACTCCTCATGACTCTTCATGAGCTGAATGGTCACTCTTTGTCCAACCTCCATACGCTGAGCCTGAGGGTGTTGAAAGTTAGTAATGTGAATCAATCGTGCTTATATCTCAGACTCAGTACATATATTTGATTTTTCCAGATGAAATCATATGAGGTTGTTCAAGATAAACTATTTATCGTTGAACAAAAGCGTCATACATCTATCAAAAGCTTGGACTTGTTTCTAAGAGATCATATAACTTGGAGATAGTGCGGCATGTTCAATCAAAAGCCCTTTGAACGAAACCAAACCAATGGATCCACATCGAATTTGTACTCGATCTCCTTTGTCCGTTGTTGTTAAGCTTCTGATCAAATACCGAGTTATAAAAGAAATCACAAACAACTCAATCACCGGACCCATCTCAATAGTGAATCACTCTATATCAGTTACCTTCCAGACGTGAACTTCATAGGCTTTATGGACCCTCAATCCTTATCCCAGCATCATGACTCCGTTATTACCACCACCAGAAGCCCCACCTTTTTATGTGGGCTTCAAGAAATGGCCAAGCGTATCACCCAGCTAAAGAAGAATGGCGACAACTTCAATATATGGGAGCGACAACTAAAAGTGACGATACGCAGTCTTACTGGTTCAACCACCTATTTATCTCATGAAGCAGACCAACACGATCGCCAGTTGGACGAAGTAGTGTTCAACCTGATCTTCTGGTCAATTGACGAAGACCTGCAACTGGACCTTAAGATTGATGGCTCGGCCAAAGATGCTTTTCGAATCTTGACAGTTCAATGCAATGCTCTCCCATTGAATCCACAGGCTGAATGCATCGCCAGTAGGCACAAAATTGCAGGCATCTTACAAATTGAAGATATCATGCAAAATATTGTCGACATTGTTCACGAGCAGTCTATTTCCGAATTCAATGTCATCAAAGAGAGAGAACTGGCACGTCTGGAAGTACACGAGCCACCTACTTTCAGCGGGAAGGGTCCGGCATACAAAGTATACTACGATCACTGTGGTCCACCGATTCTCAATACGTTTCAAAACCTGGCTGTAGTCAATCGGATGTCTCACAGGCTTTGCCTTCCCAAGTTGTGGCAGGTACGTTTGCACACATATTCCCGCGTTGATCTATAGATTGAAAGCCGAGTCGCTTATACCGTTTTATTTGAATCTATGTGTTTTTAGAAGATTCAATTGCCCAGCGCACGTCCTGCTCCTATGTCACTTTGGACCAACATGTTACTCTCAAAATATGGTGAAAAAGTAAAATCCTTTGGATTTGAGTTGGCAGACAGCTGTCTTGATCGCAATAGCTATAATTTTATGGACATTGAAAAGCATAAGTATGATAACACCATGTTATGTGCTATACCCGCATCGCCGGGGTGGATAAAAGACGTTAGATACGGAATTCGCTCGGAGAACGTCGAGAAGATTCTCAAATCGTGTCCTAATCTAGAGTCTGTGTCTGTAATCATTCCTTATCACGTGGCCGAAGGGGAATTGGCCCGCTTGGGACGCGTACTGGAAATTAGCCCTCTCCCAAATCTTCAAGCTCTGAAATTAGAGAACCGTGACCACACCAGACTCCTACAAGCAGATGAATTTGTGATTAGTCTTCTCCGAGGATTGAAATCTCTCGTATCATTGGAACTCTGCCGCTTTGGTTTCAGGCAGGAAGCCATAGAAGAATCTTTGGGATGGACCTTGGCTCAGCAAGAGAAGCTTCGCAAAATACGTTTCGAGCAAGTCACATGCGAGGATGGGACTTGGACCTTGAACGCCTGGCTTCAACGACTTGAGACTCTGGAACTCGATTCTTGTCCCGGATTGTCAACTCGCGCATTGCACGGACTACTCAGCGGTTCTCAGTCTGCACCTTCTCTTATTAGACTTCACCTTGCGCTTGGGCTTGGGCAATCTTCAGACGAACTAGATGTGAACGCTCGGTTTGATCTCCCGGTTCTCAAGGAACTCACCGTGGATTCCCTTGCAGCTATCAATCTAATGTTTAGCTTTGAAAACTGTAAAGATATAGAATTGTTGAAATGTGGTATAAGTCTGAAGAATGAACAGTGGGAGTTGATGAAGCATCACTTGTCTATATCTACTTGGCCTAAGCTCTCGGTTTTGAGTCTTTCTCGGGCACATGGGATGATAGCTAAGGAGGAAGTGGATGAAATTCGGGATGCTTACAACATCAAACTCTTGATTGATTGAAACACACATCTATGTTTCAAACTGAGAGGGGATATCTTTGTCAAAGAATATGATGAGTTATACTTTCATGCTGCTTGTGGTTCTTTTGAGAAAATTTTCCTTATGTTTTGTCCAACAATAGTATTAGTACCTTATGAATCTAATGCTCAAATATGTTACGCGCTCAAGGAAATTATAAATTGACTGATTAACTTTGAAAGTGTCAAAATCTAAAAGTTTTAAAATGTTGTTGTCAATTAAGAGATGGATTATTTTGGAACCTGCAATCAAACAGTGGTTTTCTTTATTTACTTGGCCTAAACTTTTTAGTTTACATCTTCTTCAACTAAGGTTGGTTTACTCAAGAGATCCAAATCAATTAAGAAGGAAGTAGAAGAGATTTGAAAGGATTTTGGAATTCATAAAAACCCTTATAGAAACAAGTCATACTCATAGAACAGAGCCTACATATACTTCTTATCATCTTGATTGCTTTCAACTAAAATTGCTCTTGCTGTGTCAATCCAATTATTGCCCAATTCTTGTAACTTATTGTGCTAATGTTCAAATCATTTGAACGCGTAAGGAAGATATCTGGTTCTCACTAATATCATTGAAAAATCTGACAAATTTTGACAAACTGTTCTGGCTTTCTGGAGCGTCTGTCTGATCCGCTACAAGCCGCTGATTCAAAATTTCTTTGGGGACGCCATCCAAGGGACGACATGGCGACGAGTTCCATGACTGAGAGGCGGGTTGTGTCAGACTATAAGCATACATGCTTGTGCCGAGAGGGAACCTTCCAAGGAGAAGGTTCACACCTGTGGAGATGGAGAAGATTTCCCTCCATCCTCACACCCTCTCGCACGTCTGTCCTCGTCCCGCATAGTCAAGAACTCGATTCACCCAACCTTCTGCTTTCATTTCATTTCTACCAAATATATCAATCCTTTCAAATACGCTTACGAAGCAAGGAAGTACAACAAGATGGTAACGTTGGCAGAAGAACTAGCACAATCGAGAAGACTGGCTGAAATCGCTCTAATTAACGGAGAGTCTGGTCCCAGCACAAGGAACAGATCAAGGAACAGAGAAGACGCAAACAACACGGATCAACCCTACGTGGACTACACACACCAAGATGATGATGATCCCCAGAACGACTTCAACGAGCCACCGGAAAACGCTAGCGGAGACAAATCAGCCCGGAGCGCGAAGTCTACACAGACCAACCCGCGAGCGGACCCAAGAGAAGGAGTAGAGAGACTACCAAGAAGGGAGACAACGGAGGAGGAGGAGTCGTAGGGGGGTAATAAACACAGAAAGGGACCCTAACCAAGGTAAGAAGATTACTTTACGAATCCACAAACTCCATCAGCCCCTTTCCCTGGTCATGATGCCTTCCATGAAATCACAAAAACCATGTACGTGAATGTACCTGAAGATAGACGTTGAAGTGACCGTCAGGTATGCAGACGTTGAAGTGACCGTCAAGAAGACAGACATTGAAGTGACCGTCAATAGGTGTACAGGATGTCGATGTGCCCATCCGTAACTAATAGCCCCCAATTGTCCACGACGTTGAGGGGGGGTGACGTAGATGAGACCGTACCCAGTGACGTCAGGAAAGCCCATACAGGAGGCAGCAGTTGAGATGTTGAACGGCCCATCCTAAGAAAGAGTGATTTCGTTAAGAAAATCGAAGAGAAGAAGTCCCGAGCAGAAAGAATGGGAACTAACAAGACACGTGATCTACACCCCGTACAGACGCCATGCTGGAGAGTCGTAACGCTGGTGGCGAACCATCGTAAACGCATACGACAACCAAGACCCACTCCTAGGGAGAACGATGCTGCATGCCTTTCGCGCGACATACGGACAGATTCCATTTGATCCGGAAGAGTCAAGAGGCAGAAGAGAAAACCGCGACACGGAACTCAACCACCATCGCGACCGGAGACCACGAACCGAGTCCTTGATACAAGACGACGAGTTCCTAGAAGAGCTAGTCGACAGGAGGGACACAACCGGTACGGGTGCAAAATCCTCACGGGAGGACAAACCCAGGCACCGAAATCAAGCGCTCAGCTCTGCCCGCATCAGAACCGCAAACCTGTCAGTAAGAGGAAACCAGCAGAACTCGGGCTCAAAAAAGAAGGAGAGACCCGTAGAGTCATCGTCAGAAGAAGAAGGGAACCTAACAGACCCTGAGAAAGAAATCGTATTTGTAGACGACCAAGAATTATCCAACAACAACTTACTGAAACTATCCAATAGTTTCCACCAACGTATGACAAAATTGACGGCCTACGTACCTCTAACGGTGTTCAACGCAGACTGGATTGATAGAGACATCGAAAAGGCTGGATTAAAGAAAGTGAAGTCAGTAAAGGAGTTACAAGAGGGGGATGACGTGCCAATGTACTCAGGTCTAACACCACGAGACAAGCTCCTCCTTTCTTACGGCGAATGGATGGATTGCATAGACTTGTTCATCAGATACGTCGACGAATTCTACCACATGAAGAGGTCAGCGGAGATGTTCCAAAAGCATAAAGCGATTGTAGCGGACATCAGAAGATCCACATCCTGCTGGATGATTGCACTACGGTACTGCATCAAATTACGAAAATTAGTCATGCAAAACAGAATTGGAACCAACAAGAAACGGCAGATGAGCAACGCCGGGATTTTGCATCAAGACATCTTGCGTGCAGCCAAGGACAAGGCTTAATCGCTAGGAGAACGAGCCTACGCAGAAAATCCGTACGCCACGTCAGCCGGAGAACCGGATCACTCGAACCCGAGAGAGAGGCTGCCTCTGAAGAGAGACTTTGCAACTGCAAGCGGCAAGAACGGTGGATGGAAGAACACAGCAAACTCTAGACGTAACAACAAAAACAGAAACAACAATCAGCAACGCACTGATAGTCACAACAACTTCGCACGAAGAAGACCGTGGATCAGAGACAACAACAGTTGGACTCACAACTCATCAAACGGGAACTACTACCCTAACCGGAACCCAGCCAGCAACAACTTCCATAACGGAAACGGCAGCTACAGCGGAAGTTTCCAGCAGTATGGTGCCCCCCACAGCGGGTACAACCTTGGTTACGGACCGCCGATGTCGTATGGGACGACCGCGTACGGAAACACCTACAACCCCAGCTATAACCAAGGAGGACCGAGCAACACGTCAGAGCGGCAAAACCAACTTGCAGTCGTGCCAAAACAAGGGAGCAGTGGCCAGAGCGGAGCCCTGACAGTTGTCAACAGGCAAAACGGCAGCCACAAGCAAAGCTGGTAAGGACACGCCCCCTCCTATCTCACTCCCCCCCCGGCACCAGTTCAACCCTCCTGATGCTTCTCCAATTCACACCTGAAATAAGAACCCCCCCCAGTGAACGAGGTAGAGAGAGAGAGGATAAGGGTAGATAGAGGCGAAGCAGTCCGATTGATATATATATATAATCGTTGTCCTAGAGCCTATGTCTGCACACCAGAGAACGCTGCCGTAATGAATTGAATCGGATGTGTTATGTTCCAAAGTCAAACACGAGAGCAATCCAGTGTACATAGACACCCCCCCGGGTGGAATAAGCCCACCAAGCAATGCGCTCGAACTTAAACTCCCCCATCTACGTAACCCCGTCCACGTACTCCCGTCCCTCGTACCTGCTGCATAACAACCATTGTTGATGATGACCAACGCTTGTCCAAAAAAAAAAAAAAACCAGGGGTCACCTAGAAGAAGACAAAGCAACTGAACCTAGCGGAACGACGGGTGAGGTCGAAAAAGGAGAGAGACCTGTGAAACCCATGAGTGAAGACAGGTCATCAAAAACCAGCTTAAAACCCAACAGAGATTGGCCAACGTCTGTAACTTGCAAAATGAACCTGGGGAAGTGGGAGGAGATGCTAAAACAGCTGGATCTGATGGAGAAGCATAGAAGTATACTAGAAGGATTCAAGACAGGTTTTGACCAGGGCATCCCTGAGCACATGTTGGAAGGGATGAGGTTCTACTCTCCACCAAACCACGACCGGTCCAATGAGTCCCACGAGATCATAATGGAGAAGCTGCAGAAAGAACTGACCGCAGGGAGGATGCGCGGCCCGTCCACGGAGGAAGAGGTGCTAAAGAAGCTGGGGTTCTTCAGGACCAGCCCGATGGGGGTAGTAACGAACGGAGACGGATCGAAACAAATCATCAATGACCTATTGTTTCCGAAACACAAGGACAACATACCTTCCGTCAACTCCTACGTCGATAAGAACAAATTCAAGACCACCTGGGACGATTTTGCCCGGGTGGCAATGTTCTTCGCAAACACGGACGGAGATCTGCTCCTGGGGATCTTCGACTGGGAAAAGGCATACCGCCAGATCCCAACAAATCCCAACCAATGGAGGTTCCTGATGTTACGGACGAACGACAACCTTATCATCCTAGATACGAGGGTGTCGTTCGGAGGCGTGGCAGGCTGTGGCAGTTTTGGTGGCCCAGCCGACGCCTGGAAGGATATAATGAAAGCTCACTTTGGTTTTGACGAAGTGTTCCAATGGGTTGATGACAACCTGTTCATCAAAAGAGTCAACGGAGGTAACAAGACAACGATGGAAGACGTAGTTAGTCAAAGTGCCTTCCTAGGGGTGAAAACCAACAAAGGCAAATATGCGGAATTTGCGACCAAACAGAAGTATATTGGCTTTATCTGGAACGGCAACGATAAGTCAGTGAGACTTCCCGAGGAAAAGCTAGCGGAACAAAAACAGCAAGTCGACGAGGTAATAAACAAAACCGACTCACACACCTTCAAGGAGATAGAAAAATTAAGAGGTAGGTTGTCACATGTAACGAACATGGTTCCGCAAATGAGATGCTTCAACACAGGCCTTGATCACTGGCTGGCCACCTGGATAGAGAAGCGGGCACTGCGAAAGATGCCGACAAGCGTCAGAGAGGACCTGATGGAGTGGAAACGCGTCCTGAAAGACTTCAAGAACCACAAACTGATTCCGAAGAGAGAGTCGATTGATGCAGGGTGGGTTGGGGACGCGGCAACGAGCCACGGCATCAGGTTGATCATAGGCGACAGGTGGGCCCAGTGGCGGCTGAAAGAAGGGTGGAGCGATGAGGAAGCTAACGGCATAAGGCGTAACATAGCCTGGGCTGAGACTATAGCAGTCAGGCTTGGACTCGAGATGCTGGCAAGAATGGTGGATGTAAGGGGTAAGAGATTCCAGTTCCTGACGGACAACACCACCACAGAAGGGGTGGTCCAAAACCTCAAGTCGAGACACATCACAGTAAACCTAGAGTGGAGAAAGATACAGAGGAGACTGGCGGAGTTAGATTGTGACCTGGAGGAAAAGAGAGTCAGCTTATCAAACAACGACGCAGACGACTTATCAAGAGGAATTAGAGTTGGGAAGCAAGACGCTGAGAGACTGCAAGTAGACGTGCCGGAGGACCTGAAACCCTTCATCGAAGCATCAGAAGTGCCCCTCTCGAAGAGCACCACACCTGAACAACTGTAAGTAGCCGAGGTTCATCGACATCAGAGTGACAGGAAAACACATATTGACCATGAATCCAGTCAGTAGACGGCCAACCAACGTAGAGTACAGAAATGACACCTCACCGTCCAAACTTCGCAAGGATCGAAGACGAGATCGCAGACGACAAGACGAAGCAAATTGCGAGGCATATGGTGAGCGGCTTGTGGGCATTGTTGACTTTGCAGGGGTATTGGAGCGCGGTAACAAAGTTTAAAGAGTATATCGAAAGCGAGGGGAAAGACTGGGATTCGGCCATCCCCGTACAAGCGGAAGATATCTATGGCTTTATCGTGTGGGCGGGTGAGTCAATTGCAGAGAAGGATTTGTCAGCAAAAAGAACAATACGAGCAAAGACAATCGAAAAGTACCTAGCTGGACTGGTAGCATGGCAGATGGCCATCAAGCTAACGCCCCCCGACCTAAATCAGCGGATGGTGAAGGCACTGCCAGCATATTTGGCTCGGAGACAAACGTCCATGGAGTCCTCGGACAGCGCCCCCGAGGAAAAGGGCACCCAAGGGCTAATTCCGAGGCAAATGTTGGCCCTGGCCGTTGCCTCGGATTGGATCCTCGGATAGGGGTTAACTCGGAGTCAGAATCCGAGGAATCCTCGGATTTTTGGCTCCGAGCCAAATATGCTGGCTGTGAGGCTTTGATGAGAGCTTGTGAAAGAGCGGAAGAACAAGCGGGACTCAAATCAAAGGAAGAAACAAAGAAAGAAGCAATCAAAGAGAAGCAACCTATTCAGGTCAGAGAACTCATCGGGTTAGTCTGTGACCTCGCAGGAAAATCAGACAAGGAAGAAACAATCGTAATTACAGCTCTCGTAGCTTTTTGGGGTATGATGAGGCTGGGAGAGCTCACTAGGACAAACAGGAGAGAAGGAATGTTAACTAGGAGGGACCTCACATTTGAAGGTCAAGGCGAAAAGAAGGTGGCAGTCCTGACCCTGTGGAAAGCAAAAACCGCCAAACCGGAAGAGTCGCAAACAATACGAATACCATCCCAATGATTTGTGCTCGACCCGGTGGCAGCACTGGAGCGCCTCCTCGATCGGAACCAACCCTTCGGGCAAGATGAGGTGCTGTTCGGTTACAAGTCAGGGAACAAGAGGTTGCCAATCTTGAAGAAGGTGTTCATGGAGTACCTAGAGGAAAGATGGGGGGAAGAGTGGGGTCAAACTGGGTGCCTGGTCCAGCCACTCCTTCAGGGTAGGGGGAGCGTCTCTAAAGTGGAATTTAGGTTGGAAAAAAGAGAGAATAATGGAACAAGGCCGCTGGAAATCAGACGCGATAGATGTTTACCTCAAAGAGTACGCCAAAGACGAGTTGAAAGAAGCTAAAGACCTGTTATGGGCTATAGACCGACGGAACAGAGCAGCCAGGAGATGATCCATGTAGGCACAAACTGGAGGTAAGTACACAGTTCAGTAGGATGATCACAGGATTAGAGTTACACTGACAGGGGTTGAACGATGTACAGTACAGATCCCAAGCCACCCTCGTGATACAGAAGCAAACCTAAAAAAAAAAAAGTTATATATATATAAATAACGATTTAAATAAAAAGAGTGGAGGAAGTTAAAGCCAGGTAGAGGAAGTTAGAGACTGTAGAGGGAAGTGCTGCCACGCAAACGCCAATGAAATGCGAAAACAGTGTTATGATGCAGCGAGACAGACACCTTAGAGACCACTGCACACACAACAGAGCGCCATAGCGCCAGAAGAGAGGAGATCGCGCCATGCCTCCTGCGGGTTTAGGGGTGTCCTCGTCATGCCGAGCCCCGCAGGTGCCCGACAAGCGGGAGGTAGACAAGAACACCCGAGTAACCCGAGAGGCCCGACTTGCAACAAGCTGGCCCGTCTTGGTGTGAGTCGGAAAAGATTCCAGATCACGCAAAACGGGCCTGGCCTGCGGCCGCCTTCCCAAACACGCTCTACCTCACAGAAAGAATGTGAGGTAGAGCAAGGATGGGTGTGTATATGTAGGATTACATATATATAACTCGATCATGAATGATCTCAAGTCCTAAGAACTTGCCCCTCACCAAATGGAGGTGATCTGGTGCACTCTGCACTATTTTACCAGCCGCTACTAGACCAACATTTGAACATAGCAGACCCGCCCACCCACTATTACTGCTCCACTATTTAATATCCAGTGCTGCCCAGAAGCCCTATGACATATAGTGCAAAACAGCAAGACCCAACAAGTGTCGGATCTTTTTTATTGTTTTTCAGCGGGGCTGGGCCAAATTTCAAATTCCACAAAGCAAAGATTTATCTGTGACATATGGCTTGATTGATTCATCAATCACCTGGGACATTACTTTATCAACTCATACATCAAACCAGTTTGGGATCTCACAATGACATGGAAGAAGATTGAAACCTAAAGAGGATGGTTGAGGGTTGATTAGGGCTAAAGAGGGTGTTTGAGGTTTGATTGGTGGGAAAGAGCAATAAGCAGATCAGGCAGCTGGTCAATGTGTTTCTATTTTATTTTTATTTTTTCAAAGTGTAACATTGATGACTTGATACCTGAGAATTAAAACCCAGGGTCAGTGACCCGGTGAGAGGAGTGAAGTAGCTCAAGTGATGGTTTATTTTCTACAAAACCAAACCCAGTGTGCTCATGAGGGTTCAGGAAAGTCTTTAGAGGATTGATCCTACTATAAACTAACACATTCACATTGAAAAAA